ATTAAAGTGTCAGGGCTCCGATAAATGATGATTTATATTGAAGTGTTTATTAATGAGCATTCCTGCAAAAGCAGCAGAATTAGCCAAATGGCTATTTTTCATCTGTTATTCCTGGACTGATCTTTAATTGTCGAAAACCGTACAAAATACAGTGAAATATACAAATATAAAAGGAATAAAAACTGGCTATAACTCCTCAAAACTTGTTTAAAATGCAGAATTAATGTTTGCTAGATTTCAGATTTTAGGTTAATAAAATAAAGCATTCAGATAAAAATAATTACTATATATATATATATACACAGACACACAGCAGGGCGGCACGGTTTGCTAAAGGAAGACATTCCACTAATGCTGACATGTCGGAGGTTTTATCAGCCAGTTTTTCCAGATGCTTTTTGAAAAGAGTTTGTTGTTTTTCATTAAACAAAATCCACCATAGAAGCACAAGAACGTCTCATTGCCCACATTCTTTAAAATGTTTTATGGGAAAAATGACTTTAGTGGTTTTAGACGATGCAGCTGATCAGAAGGTAAACTGGGCTGGAATCTGCTTTGCTTTCACCATAAATGTTTATTTTAACTCTGAATGTATTTTTCTTCATGCCTTAATAATGTTTTCCATTTGTTGTAAAAATCAACTTTTTTTTTCAAATAAGAGCTTTTTAAAGCGAAGCTGTGTCTTGGTCTTGTTAATCTTTATAAAATTATAATCATTATTATAACCAAAAGCATTTTAAATGTCTCACCTTTAGGAAATGTTCTCTTCAGCGCCATAGTGAAGCCAGTAGGACGTGATGTCGGTTAAAAAGCTGCTGTGCTCAATGGTTGCTGTCATACGGAAGAGGATTAGCACCAATGAGGGGAAAAAGTTAACCGATTTACTTTGAGTTTAATTTGTGAAAAAAGTCAGAATTATTTCTTTTTTTCCCCAGAATTCTGACATTTTTCTTACCGGTATATAAAATAAAAAAAAAAACACCTTAAAAAATGTTACAGTGGCTTTATTCCTAAAAATAAATAAATAAATAAAAAGTCATAATTCTAACTAAAGTCAGAATAAAAGTAAAAAAAATCAGTTAACTTTTTTCCAGTGGCCCTAATCGTCTTCCGTACTCGTCACTAAACTCTGCCGTCGTTTTAAAGCTGATGGAATTATTCTACACAGAATTCAGAGCCTCTAAACGGAAAAGTTTTAGTTCACTTTATGTTGTTTATAACCGTATTCTTTATGGAGGACCAACCCCCTCCTTATTTGCATAATGAGGCAGAAATGTAAAAAGGAAATAAATAGCGGGGAAGAAATAACTAGGGTAAAAAAATACAAAGGAAGAATAAAACAGACAAAATAAATACTTAAAAATGTAAGTTATTATAAAATAAAGTTGAAGATTATAAAGGACAAAAAAAACAAATAAGGTAAATATTACAAAGTTAAATAAAGAAGCAAATTAAAAGAGTTATTTACATTTATGTCTCACTGTATAATTTAATTTCTACTTACATTTATTTGTTTATTGTATTTTTGGTGGCAATTAATTGTATGCTTATTTATTTATTGAGCATTTATTTATTTCTGTATTTATTTTTAAATGTGGCAGAGTTGGTCCTCCATAGAATCATAGTTCTCCATTGGCTTAAAAAAAATACTGCTTTTATTTTTGCATTTAA